CATTGGAATGCACAGTGACAAAGCGTGGCATGCGGAAGAATCTTACCACGTGCTGTTCTTTCCCATACCCTCTTCATTTCTGGTCCTGGAGCACACCACCCTCATCTTCCTGGTGCTACTTTCTTCCAGAACTTCACCTGGCTGCTCCTGTGCACCACGTAAATCTTAGCTTAAATGTCATGTCCATAAAGAAGCCCAGCCTTCCTGAGTAACTATCTAGTGACTATATTTTAAATCACTGCTTATCTGGTATTTTCTTATTGACTCATTTCCTGTGTCCTCACTAGCATAGATAGCTCTTATGAAAATGGGGTCTTTGCCTATCCTCACAGCTCTGATCCCAGCACTTGAAATAGTGGCTGACAAACAGTAGGTGCTCAAAAAATACTTGTTGAATAAATAAGTGGTCTGGAGATCAAGCACTCGCTAGAGTCAACTAGCAGGCAGATATAATCAAGATGAAAGATTTTCCACTAAAGAAAACAGGGGAATTGGAGTTAGAAGGTCTGGATCCAGGACAAGCTCCTACTTCACTAGCTTCCTAAGTGTGATGGGCTCGGTTGAAGTCCTCAAAATTTATATGTTGAAGTCCTAACCCCCAGTGTCTCAGAATGTGACTGTATTTGGAGATAGAATCTTTAAAGACATAATTAAAGTTAAATGAGGTCATTAGGGTGGGCACTAATCCAATATGACTGGTGTCCTCCATAAGAGGAAGAAATGTGGACACAGACACGCACAAAAGGCAGGCCATGTGAAGACACATTGACAAGATGACCATGTACAAGCCAAGGAGAGAGATCTCAGAAGGACCTGACCCTGCTGACCCCTTGATCTTGGACTTACCAGCCTCCGGAACTGTGAGAAAATAAATTTATGTTGTTTAAGCTCCCCAGTCTGTGGTACTTTGTTATGAAAACCCATCACACTAAAACACTAGCCTTGGGTGAATCATGAAGCATCTCCCCCCCCTCTCTCAATTTTTCACTTATTACAAGAGAATAGCAGTTCACTCAGGAATTAATTTGTGTAAAAGCACCACCACAAATCCAGGCATACAACAGAATCTTAATATATGTTTATTTTCCCCACAAAATTTTTTCTTACTACTAATTCATAAATAGGTGCAGATTTTCATGAGTCCATTAACACCTGCAAAATCAGGTTGAGTAATAACCTGAGATTGACACTGTCTTTTCCTTCTTCACAGTTCTAGGACCTAGGACAGTAGCAGGCTCAGTGGGGGCAAAACAGGTGTGAACCCCAGTTCTTAGACTCACAGGGCAAGAATTATCGCTGATGTTATTTCCCTGAACCAACTGAACTCACAGTCCAAACCCCCAAGCTTCCAAGATGAGAGAAAATTCAGACTTAGTATGTCTTGACTTTCTCTCCATCCTACCCTGAACTAAGGTTTTGGAGGTCTCTGTGTCTTAGACCATCTTCAGGTCTTGCAGCCCTGCAATTTCCCATCTCATTGTTTTTTATTTTTATCTTTTTGAGACAGAGTTTCACTCTGTTGCCCTAGACTAGAGTGCCATGGCATCAGCCTAGCTCACAGCAACCTCAAATTCCTGGGCTCAAGTGATCCTCCTGCCTCAGCCTCTTGAGTAGCTGGGACTACAGGTGCCGCATGCCACAATGCCCAGGTAATTTTTCTATTTTTAGTAGAGACAGGGTCTCACTCTTGCTCAGGCTAGTCTCGAACTCCAGAGCTCAAGTGATCCTCCTGCCTTGACCTTTCCAGAGTGCTAGGATTACAACCATGAGTCACCACACTCGGCCTTCCATATCATTCCTAGGGGACTTAGGAATTTTTGGCAAGGCAGAGCACCCCCATATCTAGAATCTAGTCTCCTGGTGCCCTGTGAAGCTACTCCTTCTGTGGCCTTGCTACCTACCCCAGGTGCAGAGTTAAGATCTGAAGTTTGGTCACATTGGATGCTTGTCTGTATATTCCTTTCATGTGTACACCAATGTGCAGTAGTATGTAGACTTACTGCAGTTAATGCCTCTGTGCCTCAATTTTCTCATTAGTAAATCAAGTTTAATCATATTTTAAGAAGTATATATTTGTAAGTATATTGTAGGCTCCTCATACTTATGAGCCATTGTGTGCATGATACATGCTCAGCAGGTATTTGTGGACCAAATAATCACTTCCCTAGCTCTAGGAGCAAACATATTACAGAGCAGCTGTATTAGTTTCCCAGGGCTGCTGCAAAAAATTGCCACAAGCCAGTGGATGTAAACAACATACATGTTTTTGTCTGGCATTTGTAGGGGTCAGAAGTCTGCCGTGGGTCTCAGCGGGCCAAAATCAAGCTGTTGCCAGAGCTGCATTCCTTTTGAAGGCTTTAGAGAAGAATGTTTCCTTGCTCTTTCTAGCTTCTAGAAGCCACCTGCATTCCTTGGCTTATGGCTCCTTTCTCCACCTTCAAAGCTAGCACCACAGATCTTCCAATCTCATTGCAGTATTAATAACCAAAATGTGAAAATAACCCAAATGCCCATCAGTACATGAATGGATAAACAAAATGTGGTACACACATACAATGGAATATTATTCAGCCATCAAAAGGAATGAAATACTGATATATGCTATAATTTGGGTAACCTTGAAAACATTATGCTAAGTGAAAGCAGCCGGGGCCCTCATCCTCCTGTCTCCTCCTGGAAAAACATTTAGGATTATGTTGGATAGTCCAGGATAATCTCCCCAACTCCAGACCCTTAGCTTACTCATACAAGCAAATTTCTTCTACATTTCTTCTTCTTCTTCACTCCACCTTCTATTTGATCCTACTAAAAGATGGGAAGGAAGAAAAACTGGCCTTGGAATCTCAATCTCACCTCTTAGTATCAGTGCCACCCTTCTTACTTAACCTCCTCACCAGCACCCTTGAAATGGGCATAATAGCTGCCTTTCATGGCTATTGTGACAAAAATAAGAATGAATCTGTAGGACCTGACATCAAGAAGGTCCTCAGTGCATGGTCAGCACTATTATTAATGTGATCTTAAGCCCACTATATTTTCCAACAGGATTACCCTAAGATTTACACATATGTAAAATTGTTGGGTGAAATGCTAAGTTTCTGTTTGGACATTTGTCTTGATTTTTTTTTTTTTTTTTTTAGACACAAACCACTTGCACATTTCCATTATTTTTTACTTCATTCCAGGATGAACAAATGGGTAATGTGCCCTGCAGACCCTACCCATCACACACACATACTGCACCTGGAGATAGAATGTGCATTGTCACCTTTGCTATCTTATTTCAGAAAGAAAAACCAGGGAGTTCCTGATCAAAAACTGTGTATTAAGAAAATTTTCTATAATCAAAATCACTAGGGCATAGGAACATGCTGAGCTATGGGATGGAAGGGAAACAACATCTCAGGGTGTACAAAACAAGCATCTTTTTATTCATTCGTATTTATTGAGCACTTACTATTTTCCAAGCACTGTCTTATAGCACTGAGTATAAGGTGGTGATCAAAGCATGTGCCACCATGCCCCACTAGTTTTTTCTATATATTTTTTTGTTGGCCAATTAATTTCTTTCTATTTATAGTAGAGACGGGGGTCTCACTCTTGCTTAGGCTGGTCTCGAACTCCTGACCTTGAGTGATCCTCCCGCCTCTGCCTCCCAGAGTGCTGGGATTACAGGCGTGAGCCACCGCGCCCGGCCCAGGTGGGAATTGTTAAGTGAAATTTTAGTTTCAGATACATACATAAACACACACGCACACAGATGTGGGCATTGAGTTGTGATTCAAAGGGTATTTCTTATGCAGGTCAGTAGTCACAAAATCTGAATGACACTGCTCAAAGGCAAAAATGACCTTGGCGTGTTTAGGAAAATAAACGTAGATTGTGAGGCTGGAATATACCCGGCAAGGAGGAGTGGTAAGAAATGAGGTCAGCCACATAAACAGAGGCCAGATTGTATAACAAGCCACCATAAGGATCTCAGATTTCATCTAAGCACTATTGAAAGCCACTGAAAGATGTAAAACAGTATGTTCTGATGAACATTTTTAAAACAAATAATTTTGGGTACCTTTCCCCATTACTTTCTATTGTTTAAGTTCACAGACTAGACTCTAAAATTCACTGAGCTGATCCAATGAATCAAGTGCTTTGAACAGAATGTTTGCAATAGAAGAAAACCGGTGAACCATTGATCTGAACTCTTTGCAAAATAAATGAGACTAGCTCAGGTGGTAAAAATTAAATACTCACAAAAACTTAAACAACAATATACTATTTTATGCCTATAAGTAGACAAATATTTTTAAACACTTGAAAATGTTATTAGCATTATTGGAAATTGGCACCATCTTTTATAGAGGGCCATATGGTTGTTCCTATCAAAATCTAAACTGTGCATTACCCTTATTCAGAAATTTCACTTCAATGATTATATCCTTCAGAAATGCTTATATATATATATATATATATATATATATATATGCCAACAACAGGTGTAGCAAGATATTTGTGGTAGCATGCATAATTAGGAAAAATTGGAGATAGTTCAAACGGTCATTAATGAGAGAATGGGTAAATAAGAAACAGAAGCTTTCTTACTATAATATACAAGCCAGCTGTTAAAAAGAATGTTCCAGATACTTTATGTACTAATATAAAAGTCCTGATTTATTGATTAGTAAGAAAAAATGTGCAGAGAAATATGAGTAGCATGATGTAATTTCAGTTAAACAAAAACAGAAAAATATATACAGATAAGCATATCTGAATGTTCACAAAAGAAAAGTCTAGAAGGGATATGCAACAAACTTAATAGGGTGAGAGAAGGCAGCTCCGGAAACTCTATACTTTTACTTTACATGCTTTGGCATTTGAGCTCCTTTTACATTAAGCACATATTATGTTTGAAATGTAAAAAAAGTAATAACATTATATTAACAAAAATTTGGATAGGTAGGCCAAGCAGAGGCAGCATTAACTGGGGAAAAGAAAATACTTACACCTTTATGGTGACATCAATAGCCAGAGCTTCACCTCTTAGGTTGTCATGATGGGGAGAAACCAAAACAATTCAGATGAAATGATGCACTTGGCTTGTTGGCATGTATGTGTATATACCATTATTTATGATATTTCTTCAAACCTGCAGGGCCAGAGAGTTTTAATCATTACAAAGCTAAATGTTGCACCATCCCTGACCATTTTAAATCTTGTTAAATTTGTTTGGCTGAACCTGCCCCAATCTGAAATTTACCTATGAAATTTTCGTAGAGCCATGCATAAACCCTGGGCAAAACTAAAAAAAGGGGAAATGGATAATAATGACAGCAACCAATCCCTGGGCATATAATCTTGTGCCAGGACTGGCTCTGGGTGATTTGTATATAGGACTACTGACTCCATAAGCCTGCATGGTAGGTGACATATTATTCCCACTTTATACATGAATACATTGCAGTTTCCAGAACCAGGTGAGGTCATCTGCCCCGGTGACATGGCAAGGGGAGATGCTGGGGTGACAGCCCAGGCCAGTGGTTCCCACAGTGCCTCTCTGCTCCTTCACAACACAGAGGGAGCCGGCCTTGGTCCCTGCCACCAGAATGGCTTTGTTATTCCTAAGGTCAGCTGGATGGTGGTGCTAAAGATAAAAGAACATTTTATTGTGGTAACATTGAGCTCACTTCAGAGTCTGTAACAGTGTAACCCAGTTGGCTGAAGTCTATATCAGGACTAAGAAAACAATAGGAGTTCCTAAGCTATTCCTAGTGTTTGCTCTCATGCCCCATGCCCTACCCCACTGCGCCAGCCACATACAGAGGCAGGTGTCTGTTTTACCATTAAAAGAAAGGGCTGATGAGATAGGAGCAGGATTATGCTAGAATCTTCTCTGATAAGATCTCGCCCTACCTGTTCAATCCTCCCTGAGAAGCCTATCCTGGACCCCTCCCACCTGCACTCTTGGGGTCAGCTTTCCCTGCTCAGGCCGTCCTGGGCCTGGTGCCTGCCCCAACTCCATCACTGTACTTCATCACAAGGTATTGAGTCTGCTCTTTGCCTGTCTTCCTCAGTGGACCATGGGCAGGCACCCAGGCCACATGGTGTTGCTGTCTAGCCCCAGAGCCTGGTGGGCCTCCATAAATACTTAAGGAATGAAAGAACATGGTTCTAGCCAGGAATGTCATTTGACCTGGAGAGGACAACAGAAGGGCCTGCAGAGAAGTGTCACTTAAGGCTGGATAAAAGCAGCTGAAAATAGTACAACTCTCAGCCTGAGGGGGAAAGAAACAAAGGAGAAAAAGTTGTGTGTAAAATTATTCTGTAGAGTAGTATGATGGTGAGCACATTTGTCAAAACCTATAGAACAGTCTGGGCACGGTGGCTCACGCCTGTAATCCTAGCACTCTGGGAGGCCGAGGCAGGCAGATCGCTCAAGGTCAGGAGTTTGGAACCAGCCTGAGCAAGAGCGAGACCCCCATCTCTACTATAAATAGAAAGAAATCAATTGGCCAACTAGTATATAGAGAAAAACATTAGCCGGGCATGGTGGCGCATGCCTGTAGTCCCAGCTATTCGGGAGACTGAGGCAGAAGGATGGCTTGAGCCCAGGAGTCTGAGGTTGCTGTAGCTAGGTTGACACCACGGCACTCACTCTAGCCTAGGCAACAAAGTGAGACTCTGTCTCAAAACAAAAACAAAAACAAAAACAAAAAAAACCTAAAAAACATACCACACAGTGAACCCTAGTCAACGGTGAACTTTGGTTGATAATTATGTGCCAGTGTGAGCTCACTGATTGCAATGACCACACCATGCTGATGCCTCATGTTGCTGGTGGGGGAGGTTGTGGGGAGAGGGAGGAAGGGTACGTGGGAATTCTATGAACCTAAAACTGTTCTAGAAGATAGTCTATTAATTTTTTAAAAAGTACTCAAGTAAATGTTTTATGACTTTATAGACAACCTTGCTGTTTCTTAAGTATAAAAAGAAACAGACTCCTTTAGAATAAAGCAGAATAAAACATGCATAGCCACTGAGATACAAGAGAATCCTCTTCATGGGCTGTGATGTACTGCTCAAGAGTAGAGCCAGATAGCAAGGAGAAATATACTCTGGCATGAGAAACAAAATAAATCAGTACAGAATGAAGCAAAATTTAAAGCAAACAAACAAAAAAATCTCTAAACACTTTTTCCAAAATAAAGATGTGAATTAATTTACTCCTATCCTCGCCATTTTTTTCCCCATCTACTGCTCAGGTTTGGTTTCTAACATTAAACATGATGATAAAATTTGCCAACTTTTCACAACAAAAGCACTTTCTGAAATTTAATAAATTATTAACATTAATTTTTTTTACATGATTGAGGTTTAAGATGATGGCCAAGGAACCAGTAATAATTAAAACAAAGGAAGAGCAACTAGCAACCTTTATAACCATCTCAAAGGATAATGTTACACCTGCAACCTTGTCATAGACTGCTGCTGGCATTGGGTGCCCCATACACACAAACCCAAAACCAAGTTCCTAGCATGGCAAAGGGACTTGCTCTAGGTCACAGATCATATCCAGAGTAGAGCCATTTGTGTGGCAGAGTCTACTGCTACGGTCACCACACCACACCTCAGTTAAGTACCCTATGATGCTGTTGATTTACATCATCTCAGGAAACTGATGAACAGCTTTATGGAGTAGGCACTCCTAATAGCCCTGACTTTTATTTTCTGTTTTTTAGAGATGGGGTCTCACTTTGTTGCCAAGGCTAGAGTGCAGTGGCATGATCAAAGCTCACTGCAACCTCAAACTCCAGGGCTCAAGCAATCCTCCTGCTTCAGCCTTCTGGGCAGCTGGGACAACAGGCACGTGCCACCACATCCAGCTAATTTTTCTTATTTCTTGTAGAGATGGAGTCTCGCTATGTTGCCCAGGCAACACAGTTGCCTCTTGGACTCAAACAATCCTCTTAGACTCTTGTCTCTTGGACTCAAACAATCCTTCTGCCTTGGCCTCCCAAAGTGCTGGCATTACAGGCATGAGCCACCACACCCTCTGATTTTTAGATAAATCAAGGTGGCTAAAAGAAGTTACTAATTTGCCCAAGGTCACACTGCAGGTCAGGGGTTAGAGCCATGCTGTGAAGTAGGCCAGTGTGGGCTGACCTCTACCTACAGGGGAAAAAAAAGTCACAAAACAGCAGATAAGGAGGGACAGTTGAGGGAGGGACTGTCCCAGTGCTCCACCACAGGGAGGATGGGATGACTGAATACTGTTATTGTTGCTGGTGATAAGAATGCAAAAATCTCCTCTTGGCCAAGTTGTCTCTTCTCTTGTTCCTGCCTATTTTTGCCTCCAGGTAGGCTGCAATAACAGTGAAAATATAATACTATTCAGATAATACTCCATGCCACTTGTTGGAGCAGAAGGGGTTCTAACTATCCCCCATGGGGTGAGGGGAGGAAGGGGGAGGAGTGGTCACATGATCTTTCAGTGGAGGAACAGAGGCCTGGGGCTTCCGAGATGAGCTTTCCTGTTCCAGGCCAGAAGCTGTCATTAGCTGTGTGACCTTGGATACATCACTCAATTTCCCTAAACCTGTTTTTCTCAGCTATAAAATGAAGATAATATTAGAAGTCTATGATGATTAAAATAGGACAGAGTGGGCAAGGTGACATCATAGTTCACATTATTACTGCAAGATCCCTTCTTGGCTATCCAGCACCTGGTGCCTTCAAAGTGCTCCATAAATATGTGTTGAATTAATGCGCAAACATACTAAAATGCGTAAACAAAGTGAATGGTTCATCTATTAAAGATCAAAGCACAAGAAACATTTCAAATACTACAGCACCTGCTAAACAACTGAAGTATTGAATTATCTCTTTCTTACCAATTTCTCATATCTAGCTAAGAAATTTTCCAAGACTAAAGGGAAGACCTCTCTCTCCCAGACAGTTACTAGGGCTTTTGAACACATACCATAACCTTTTTTCCCTAGCTAATCACAATAGCTATAGATCTGGGCTCTACATACATTATTTCATTTGTCCTCATGATCGCCATTTAACGTAGAGTCCCATTGTATTATTACCTATATATATTAATTGTATTATTTTACAAATACAAAAAAAAAATGAAGTTGAAAGAGTTAAGTGAATTGACAATGTCACTAGCATTGTACAGAAGAAGAAATAAAGTTTCCAAGAAAGTATGTAACTTCTGCCTAGGTCAGACCCTCTACCTGCACTTTAGCATTTTAACTAAGAATCCTCAAATTATGAGGTTTAAAAGAATGCGCTAAATATCAAGACAACCAGACTCTGGGAGTTGACTACATTGTACAAGTTTTCCAGAGAAAGTAGTAGAACGCTCATCTTTTGAGTCAGTTATGGCTACATTTGACAAGGCACTAGAGACTGTATTACAGCAGTGCCTCGTCAAGTGAACAAAATAACCTCTTCCCCAATCGCAATTCCAAGGCTGTAACAGGCTATAAAACCTGTTCTGCTTTACCACTACTTCCTTCCAGCCTGGCCAATGCCGCTTGTGCACTCACCACCATCACCTACCTTCACCCTCCACTTCATAACCTGGCTGGCGATTTAAGGCATCTATAGCTTTAACAGGACAATCTCCAGTTCTGGAGGAGGGGAGGAGAAAGTCACTCATTTGCTCCCCCCCCCCCTTCAATGTACCCTAAAGACCACTGCTATATTCACTCTCTTCAAACCATAGTCACAACATCACCTTGAAATAGTCTGGGGGCTTTCTACTCCAGCAAAGGCCAAACCCTAAATTCATTCACTCGCTGAAACTTTTAGTGGGGATCTCTTTGCCTGGTCATGTGTTGTTACTCGCTGGAGATACATGAACCAGTTGGACGTATTGTGGAAGAGCCCCAAGGAGAAAAGGATGAATACCAGGAGCATGAAGCAAAGGCATTCTGAGAGCACTTGAGATTCACTCATTCACTCTCCAGCCTTCCTTCCTTAATATAATCAGCGCCCATTCTGAAGCACCTGGCTCCCTCTTTCACCTGAGGCTCAGCATACCTCCTCAGGGAAGCCTTCTCTTGACTCACTGATGAAGAGCTCCTCTCCCACACACATTGAACATTTCCTTCTTTGCACTTACCACAATTGTAATAA